AAAAATTAGCTAATTATCATGCAAATTAGGTAATTAACGAGCATGGATTTTTACCAAAACCTAATCAAATCTGCGCATTGGCCCAGAGCATCTATGCACCAAGTTTCATCAAAAACCGATGTATGGTTCTTGAGATAGCAGTGGAACAGTCGGACACACATACACACACACACACATACACACATACACACATACAGACACACTAACTGCAAAGACTCCCATTTTGTGCTTTGCACATGGGAGTCAAAAATGTGAACAAAAGGTATATTCACTGGATTTTATTTTCACTGAATCACTTCTTCAGCGAAAATAGCAAAAATTAATTCCAAGCAAAAATAAAGTATTCTACAGTAGACATGACATACTAGTGTCTCAAACGGTTTCTGAGATCTTTGTCATTAAAAACTGTACATATTTCTAGAATCAAATAAATTTCACCATCCAAGATACAAATTTTTGAGCTAAAATTTACAACTTCAGTGAATTTTGTAGTAAAAAAGAAGCATCTTAATAAATACATATGTACATATGACAATACTTTTCAACACTAGAGAGCACAGATTGCCAGTTTGTGAAGAATGATTCTAACTATTGAAAAGCAATAACTTGAAAAACTATTCTAAACTCACTGACCTTTCCCCAGAGAACTCATTCATTTGTCTGACACAATAGAAAATAGTAGCATCAGCTGCAGACTGGATTAAAAACATTTTGACAATAGGTGATACAGCTGCTATCTAGTTTCCAGGTCAATGCCACCCATTGTCTTAAACCACAAAACACACATCTCAGACAAAAATCAGGCTTTTATTATTTATTTTCTAATAAATTCAGATGGTATACAGTACTGGTACATATGTATAATACAGTATTGGTTGCATCACAAGCAGACTTCCAATACACATACATACATTGGTTGCATCACAGGCAGACTTTCAATACACATACATACAGTATTGGTTGCATCACAAGCAGACTTTCAATACACATACATACAGTATTGGTTGCATCACAAGCAAACTTCCAATACACATACATACAGTATTGGTTGCATCACAAGCAGACTTCCAATACACATACATACAGTATTGGTTGCATCACAAGCAGGCTTCCAATACACATACATACAGTATTGGTTGCATCACAAGCAAACTTCCAATACACATACATACAGTATTGGTTGCATCACAAGCAGACTTTCAATACACATACATACAGTATTGGTTGCATCACAAGCAGACTTTCAATACACATACATACAGTATTGGTTGCATCACAAGCAGACTTTCAATACACATACATACAGTATTGGTTGCATCACAAGCAGACTTTCAATACACATACGGTACATACAGTATTGGTTGCATCACAAGCAAACTTCCAATACACATACATACAGTATTGGTTGCATCACAAGCAGACTTTCAATACACATACATACAGTATTGGTTGCATCACAAGCAGACTTCCAATACACACATATACAGTATTGGTTGCATCACAAGCAGACTTCCAATACACATACATACAGTATTGGTTGCATCACAAGCAGACTTCCAATACACATACATACAGTATTGGTTGCATCACAAGCAGGCTTCCAATACACATACATACAGTATTGGTTGCATCACAAGCAGACTTCCAATACACACACATACATACATACAGTATTGGTTCCATCACAAGCAGACCTCCAATACACATACATACAGTATTGGTTCCATCACAAGCAGGCCACCAATACACATACATACAGTATTGGTTCCATCACAAGCAGACCTCCAATACACATACATACATACAGTATTGGTTCCATCACAAGCAGACCTCCAATACACATACATACAGTATTGGTTCCATCACAAGCAGGCCACCAATACACATACATACAGTATTGGTTCCATCACAAGCAGACCTCCAATACACATACATACATACATACATACATACAGTATTGGTTCCATCACAAGCAGACCTCCAATACATATACATACAGTATTGGTTCCATCACAAGCAGGCCACCAATACACATACATACAGTATTGGTTCCATCACAAGCAGACTTCCAATACACATACATACATACATACATACAGTCAAACCTGTGTTAACGGCCACCTGGATATAGCGGCCACCTGCCTATAGCGGTCACAACCGAACAGTCCCTACGAATTTTACATGTAAAGTACCCTGTTTACAGCGGCCACCTGCCTAACGCGGCCAACGGCCACGCTTCAGTGGCCGCAGTGAACAGTTGAACTGCATATAACGGACATAGTTCCCGGATGTCTTGCAGACTACTGCCTTCCACCTCAGACAACTAATAAGCTCACAAAGGACAAAGTTAGCACGTTTTCACACCTTTCATTC